GCGACTTACAACAAGTACATTCGACCAGGAAGACACAACCTTGAAGAAAACAGAATCATATAAGTACATCAGGTTTCATAGAGCCAAACATTTCAAGTGCTACTCTACTGGCTTTAGGTAAGCCAATCCTTTATTAGTATATAAGTGCTTTGTTAATAATTCTATCGCTCGAAGTGGAGTCGAAAGAGATGAGTTTTCAGTCTGCGCCGGAAGATGTGTAAGCTTTCTGCTGTCCTGATGTCAATGGGGAGCTCATTCCACCATCTTGGAGCCAGGATTGCAAACCCACGTGTTTTTGCTGATGGGAACTTGGGTCCCCCTCGCAGCGAGGGTGCAGCGAGTCGTTTGGCTGATGTAGAGTGTAGTGCACGCGCTGGGGTGTACAGTTTAACCATGTCCTGGATGTACGAAGGGCCAGATCCATTCGCAGCATGGTACGCAAGTACCAGTGTCTTGAAGTGGATTCTAGCAGTTACCGGAAGCCAGTGAAGGGAGCGGAGGAGCGGAGTGGTGTGGGAAAATGTAAATGATGCGGTAAAGGTTTGAAATATACCTGAATGTAAATATAATCCTTCTAAAATGCCTTATTTTCCACACAATCTGATGATCTATTTATTCAATCACTCAAATTAACTACATTTTTTTATATTTGAAATCCAGTCCTCGTTATTTTTGGTTTAATTGCTTGAATTCTGATCCTCAAAAGTGGTTTAATCATGACTATATAATAACACAAATCATATTTAATACCTTTGATCACAACGTTTTATAATGCTGACTGACTCATGCTCTGCTTTAACTTGTGTTATACATGTAGAGCAGTGTTTCGCAAACTTTTTCATACCAAGGACCACTTAACCAATAAAAAAAAACTTGCGGACCACCTAACTCCACAAATATCCAAAAACACATCGTTTTTCTAGAACAGATTACAAATCGCCTGAAAATGGTACAAACAAGTGGCAACATATGTGACGAAGGTGTTGCGCTGGGCTATATCATGCAATCGAAAGAAATGAAACTTAAGCTCGCTCCATTGCGGAGATATTCCCGCGAGAGTGTGGAAAACCTTTATTTATTTCAAATGTGAAATTTTAACAATATACTCACGGACCACTAGGGGGCGCTCAAGGGCCACCAATGGTCCGCAGACCACACTTTGAGAAGCACTGTAGAGCATGTGTTGAGTGTTTCTAAATAATTTTTTACTTTATTTAAGTTTTTTTCTTAACTGGATATTCAGAAGAATAAATGTAACTTGGTTAAATGAAATGTCCTAAAGTGTCAATATTGACGATGTATTGTTTGTTATTGTTTCTCAGCATACAGGTTGCCTCTGTGACGCCGTCATAGCTTTACTCAAAGTCCCGCTGTCTTTCCAGAGGTATTTCTTCCAAAAGCTCCAGTCAACAAGCATTAAGGTACAGCAACTTATAATTATATTAGAAAATTACTAAAAAAGATACATCCCTATTCTCAATTAAATATGCCAAACAGAATATGATGCAGTAGGAAATGATAGAGTTTATTGTGTGTATATACTAGCTATAAATGTGCATGTAACTCATGTATGAAGCATGTATGTATTATTTCTCTCTTCTTTAAGGGAAACAATGCAGTACAAGTTTAAACATTATCTTTGTGAAGTTTTATTAGATTGAAATATCCTCAGGACAACATAAATGATGCCCTTGGTTGTAGATTATATTAGGGCAGGACAACATACAGTACAGTTTTCAGCTACTTATATATATGACAGTCTTTTTTCAGCTCTTTTTTAAGCTCACGCATTTTATATATATTTTTTCTCTCCAGCTCGCCCTCTCTCCGTCCCCGCGGACGCCCAGCGAGCCGATCCCGGTGCAGAGCAGCCAGCAGCTGACTCTGAAGGTGGAGGGCGTCGTGCAGCACGGCTCCACACCCGGACTCTTCAGGAAGATCCAGTCCGTCAGCCTCAATGTCACTTCAGTCCTTCAGAGCAAGACGGGAACCGACCTCAAGGTATCCAGTGATTTCATTCATCTTTGGTTATTGCTCAATAATGCAAATATTTCAGAATAATAGAAAAATCTTTAGTCCCTTTTTTATATTGGGCTGAGCATTATATCCATATCATGTCCATATTGGGACATTAGGATAGATACGTCTTATCCTTCGTATATCATCATATCCTAACATTACAAACAGTAAGTCATGTATTTTCCAGGTTTAAAGGCTGCTTTTCAAAAAGTTATGTCATTTTCTGAATTTAACAGATTCTTTAAATGTTTTTTTAGTCCGTTTAGTCATTTTGTTCACATTGCTGGTGATTATTTATCAAAAATATCAGTGTAATTATTTGGGAAACCACCAAAAGTCAACCCTACAGTATCAATATGGAGATATCGGAAAAAGAAAATGCCGATTTGATTTTACTCCATTTCAAACCTTTTATTTAACCAGATTGGTTGTTTTTATATTATGGAGAAAATTGCTTTATTCCATGTATAAAGCTCATATTGGGTATTCTCCAGATGTATATGCAGTGCAAGTACATCTACATACCTGTACTGTATTTATCAACAGATCATGCTAGCTCTGGCGTTTGTACTTCCATTTGTTGTTGTGTTGCTGCTCTAATAATGATAAGAACAAACATATTTGTCTTTTCCCTTTCCAGATTCCACTCGACAGTAAAACCAATGAGATCGAGCAGCGTGTTGAACCCCACAACGACTACTTCAGCACTCAGTTCCTGCTGAACTTCTCCGTGTTGGGCACCCACACCGTCACTGTGGAGGCCTCGGTGGTGGACGAGAGTGGCATCGAGTGGAAGACGGGGCCCAGGACCACGGTGTCGGTCAAATCTCTGGAGGATCCGTACTCTCAGCAGCTCCGCCATCAGCTGCAGCAGAGTGCCGCTCAGCCTGCTCCACAGAGGAGTGCATACGCTCGCTTCTAGCCAATATCCTCAGTGCTTCACCGTCAACAACAGGTTAAGCTTGTGTACTTGACCTTGTAGAAACTGAGTTTGTACATATTGTTTTTCAACGATTAAAAGATCAGATTTAATTTTCATGCTGCACTTTGTTTGTAATCCTTTCAAATTAATGTTGAGCGGGTGCTAAGGACACATAAGTGGCCTTAATTATAACCTGATGGTGAAGATTTTCTCTGTGCGCGGCAAAACAAGCTCGCCAAAATGGCTTCACCGGTCTGGCAGTATTTTAAGGTGTCCGAAAATGACAATAAAATAGTATGCAACGTGTGTGAAGCAGAAATCCTGCAGCTCCACCCGCTGTGACGGACCGGTGAGCGGAGCAAAACACACTAAGAGTTAGACCTAACAAAACGCTATTTTATCTACCTCTGGAACAAGCTAAACTAGTTATAAATATATGTATTCTTCACTGTCGGGTCCCTCATTACTGGATCAGTGAGCTGCATGAGATATTGACAGGCTGTCAGGAGAGAGAGAGAGAGAGAGAGAAAAAGAGAGCGCTTCCGCTCATTTCTCCCGTGTTATTATCCAAAGTTAATGTAAACTTGAATAATGTACTTCATTTGAATATAATAATTATGTTGGTTGTTGTTTGTGGAAGCTCCAGTGAATGAGCCCCATTAACTGAGTTTTAAACATCACTTTAAATGGAAGATCCCCATAGACCCAACCCACTCGATCGGATCGGCGATCGGTATCGGCCGATACTGATTTTGGCGATCGGCCCCAAAATCGGCGATCGGAGCATCCCTGATTTTCAGCATCAAATCAAGGTAGGTCACAAGGGGGAACAAATGTACAGTGGACACTGAATTTACAGTGTAATCCATTCTGCATGAAGTGTAATGGCATAAAGAGCCATCAGGGGGCACACAACAGTCATTAACTGGTCATCATTGTGTGAGCACAAATATCTCATGTCAATTCCAGACTCGTCAAATCATTGAAATGTTAGTAATTATGTGTATATTATAGTTTTATGTGTGAATACCTTCGATGTAACATTCAATTTCACCGAGCACAACTACTTTTCCTGGTATTTCGCCCTATAATTAAAACAGTTTGACTATCTTGGAGGCGTGTGGAGCAGTGGATAGAGCCTTGGTGTTGGGGTCAGGAGGTCACAGGTTCAAACCCCACTGCAGTCAACATGTCGTTGTGTCCCTGGGCAAGACACTTCACCCCAAATTGCTCCTGTGGGGATTGTCCACAGTATTGAGTATGTAAGTCACTTTGGATAAAAGCGTCTACAAGTAACGTGTAATGTCATCTCAAATTCTTCCAACATAACAGAATGATGCAAACTCCAAAAGCCCACACTGTTTCCGGTTAAAATTAAAGTAAGTACATCGATGTTAACGGTGAACTCACGCACCCATACCGATGATGTAACCTGTGAACGACTCACGGCGGCCGGGAATGAGTCCAGATTATTTCAAATGAAGTCATAACGTTTAGTCACTACATGAGAAAAGCAGCTTTTATAGATACTGAAGCCATCAGCACTTGACATCAGAGTCTGCGCACTTAAAGCTGGCGTCAGGTGAGAAAAATAAAACGTTTGCTTAACACACTGCATTTTTGTACAATATATATATATATAAAAAAGAAACATACTTCAGGTTTAATGTAAGTGGAAGTAAACCTTCTCCATATTAATAATATGACATCAATAAAAAGTCAAGTAAAGATAGCAATACCACAATGTGGAAAGACTCAAGTAAATGTCTTCCATTAAACAAATGGTCTCTATATTGTCTTAACCAATATAATCATATTATGTTTGTTGATTCGAGTAGATGTTTTTAATAATCTGATTCTGCAGATTAGCTAATACAACAATGAAATCCCTAGAACAATATTGTATTTGTTTAGTATATAAAAAGTAAATACAAAATAATAATATATATAAATAATAATATAAGATATATTTGTGTCTTTTATTATACTGATTTCGAGACCCTGCCTTGCCTATGCTTTTATTTTGAAGGGAAAGTGAACTCACTTCCGCTCTCACTCTCGTGGTCTTTTGTGTACATTCATTGACGCTGCTGAGAATCGAGCTCTAGAGAAAGATAACGGGTCCTGCGAGTCTATAAACGAAAAAAATCTCAGCTCTCTGTATTACATGAGCATATGTCGTGTATAGTTTGTGTTTGCGTTTATTTAACCGTCAGCGTTAACCTAACCCCCGGATCCGAACTATCCTCCATCTTCGCTAATGGGAGCCGCCGTGTAACATTAGCTAGCTAACCTGACGATGATGAGGAGGATGATGCATCGGAGGATTTATCCCGGTGTCTCTGACTGAGATGGAGCCAGCGACACTCTGCTGCTTGCTAGCTAGCTAGCGAGCTAACGGAGCCCGCCGGGGTCCACGGTGCAGCCGAGCCGCCCTGAGAGAGCCTGATGGGTGCTGCTGCAGCTTCGCTTTCACACATCTCCACCCGGGCCAGAGACATTTCAGAGACCATGTCCACTGGCACAAATATGCTAACATAACCGTTTAGGTTAGCCACACGTGACATAGTTTATCTCGATCCAGCATTTAGCTTACACCCCTGGCCGTCCTTGGATGCTTCATTGACATTTACTGGGTGAGTAACAGGATTATTACTACATTACAGGGTCGGACTATATTCTGGAGGAGGCGAGCAGATATTGCGCTTTGCACCAGCCTCCAGACATCCGAGTTTGGTGTTGTCTCTTAAAATACCTGCACACTCCAGCTTATTAGATACCTTTATTATTTATGTTAGAGTGATTTACAATTATGTCATAACCCAGGGTTGTCATACCGGTCATATTTATTTACCGTTATGCTAACTACCTGCTGCTAGCTAGCGTGCCATGAAGTGTACCACCACGTCCCGGGCGACTGGTCCTTTTATGGTACTGTGTATGCATGCATTACTGTAAAGGCTAGGCAGCTAGCTAGCAGGAAGTCACGAAAAATCACAGTTCAGGATAAAACCCTTTGAATAAAAACCACAAGACAGAGTCCACTACCAGTGTGTTGCAATTCGTGGAATAGCCTCACCCATAACCGGTTAGCGGCAGCCTCACTCCATTGGGTGTATAACCCAAGATTTGTTGTGGATGTTATTTGCACATCATTCTGTTTATCGTAAGGATAATGTTGTGTACACACACACACACACACACACACACACACACACACACACACACACACACACACACACACACACACACACATATGACTCGTCCTTTATTGGTAAACCAAGCATAGTCCAGATACTAACAGCTGTGTCTCTGTGTTGCAGACGGTGTGTTTCAGGATGGCACAGCTCTTGGACGGGGCCGGCAAACTGGGCTGGGTTCTGCTCAAGTCTGTGATCCGTTTCTTGTTTATGTTGTGCAACAACTGTGTAGCCATCCCATCCTACTGTTTATACCTGCTGCTTCTCCAGCCGCTGAGAATATGGGACAGCCCGACTTTCTGGTACATCGAAGGAGTCATGTTCAAATGGATGCTGGCCATGGTGTCTTCATGGGGCTGGATCGCAGGTTATACAGGTAAGATACTTTATGATGTACACACACAGCCATTGTTCCACATGGTGCCTCGCATGCAAAGGTATTGTGCATACAGCACTAAATGTTATACAGGTTACTGATGAGTAAGACTGAACAATATTGCTTTTGGTAGATCCTTTAGTTATAAACCGGTAACAGCCATAGTGATGGGCATACGTTTCACTACAAGGTTTTGCAATGACATTAACCTCTGTGCTCAAAGACTCTTCTCTGTTGGCTCAATAAATGTTTGTTTACTACTCGATTAAAAGTTACAAGGCTGTTTTTAATCCAACCAAATATGGTAGTTAGCAACACATCCTTTTATTTAATTTATACAACATTAACCAACATATAATTATAGGTTATGTTTGATTTATGGATGCCTTTTGATAGTATTTGTTGTTTTCATATAAACCCCTACACTAGTATTTATCTCGTGTTGCACTAAAGGAGAAGGCGCGTATGTAGTATTTTTTGTGATGCAGCTAACACATTATTTTTCATCCATGTGGTTCGAAGAGTCTTTTGAACATTCATTTTGAACCTCAGGAACCTTTGTCAGACAACCCTTTTGCCTTTCTAACATCGCAACGAATATATATTTTTCACAGAAACCTTTGCTTACTGACTACAATCTCAATACAAGAGACGCACACATTAAGCTCAGGTTCAGAAACAGGGTTAGGACAGATGATTGAATGACAGTTTGCAGTTGTTCTTTGTTCCTCTTTCAATGGGGCATTTCCATATAATAAAGCAGTATGCTTCTTTAGATTAGATTACACTAGATTAGATATACTATTGGTCCCACATTTGGAACTTGTGTTAACATTGGTTGCAATTCTCCCCTTGAAAAGATTGTTAAGCCTGTTCCTGTTTGTATAGCTAAATACTGCATGTCCACCTTTTGACTATTGCTGCATCTGTCACTATCAAGCATTCAATGCATTAGTTGCAGAGCTGCAAGGATTAGCCCATTCATTGATTTGTTCATCACAACATAATTAAGCTATATTGTGCGTTGATGAGTTCTTCGATGTGATATTGAAGGAACAATACCAACATTAGCTCTTTCCAGTTGCTCAAATGTGAGTTATTCGATTAGTTATGTCTTAGAAGTAAAAGGTTAAGACGATTTGAATGTGTCCCGCTGGTTAAGCATTTTCACGTTTGTTCTTATGTCATAGAGAAACTTGTGTGCGGAGTGATCGATAATGACGCCATGAGAAATTGTGTTTAGTAGGGGTGTAACGGTTCACAAACATTTCGGTTCGGTACGTACCTCGGTTTTTTGGTCTCGGTTCGGTACGTTTTCGGTACAGCATAATTTTTTTTCACAAAACAAAACATATATATATATATTTTTTTATTATTATTATTAAACTGTGAATAATGTATTTACTCAAATAAATACAAAATATAATAAAATAAACATTAAGGTGCAACTTTTCGATGAACTGAAATAATCTGTATTTGAACTTTACTGTACTAGCACCTAAGCAGCCAGCTTGACATTAGGACTTGCTTGTCAGTATGTTCATGTTGTTCTAAAGAAAGATGAACTTGTCCACATTGCTTGCCGAAAGGGCAGATCTGCTGGCACTAACAATGTCTCCTGCTGTGGAGAACACCCTCTCTAGGGACAGAGGCAGCAGATACAGCCAGGTAGCGCTTTGCTAACATGGCAACATAAGGATATTTGGCGTTTGTAATAGCTTTGGCTCGGTCTGAAGAAGTGGAGGCTTAAATGCTAGCTGGAGTTGGGTTTGCACTTCAGTCTTTTTTCTTTTGGTACCGGTGATATTCACGTTCGGGTGATGCCTTTTCAAGAGTGTGCAAGTTTAATGTATTGCCAGCCGCGTAACCAATGTTAGTTGAACAATGCCGACAAACAGCTTTGGTTCGGTCCACCTGTCTTTGTCCGTCATCCTTGTTCGTAACTGCGAAACCAAAATGTTCCCAAACCAAAATGTTCCCAAACCGGAGACTTCAATGATGCTGGAGGATTTTCGAGCTCAACTTTATCTGCGTTCGCCATTAATTTTCGACAGTTTCTCAAATTACTGACTACATTTGAACGCATCCCTCTGACCAGCTCTCATAGTATGCCTCTCATCCAATGAAATGACTTGCTCGCTCTATGACGCGTTGAACCCAATGTGAGCAAATTACTCTGACCTGAGATTACTTCCAAAAAGTTGTTCACGTTCTCAATTTTTTACGTTTAACGTTATATTCGTTCGGTACACTTCGGTACACACCTGTACCGAACCGAAGGGCCCGTACCGAATAATTTCGGTACGGGTACGTGTACCGTTACACCCCTAGTGTTTAGTGATAAGGTACAGAGACTATGACAAACGCACATAATTGACATGTATAGAAGAACAGCTGGATATAAGGAGTGTTTGTTGTTTCCACTCAGCTGAAGTGATTCAGCGGTGTTTGGTTGCTCGGAGCTCAGAGCAAAATGCTTACAAATTGCTAAGTGGTGAACATGGGGAGCAACAAGGTGTGCTGATTAATAATGCAACGCGTTCGGCCTATGGAACACCTGGTGTTGCGTTGAGTAATTATATGTGTTACTTTGATTGACAGTGTTTGGAAGTGGGTTGATATCAAATAAAGCATACACTGTCACTGTGATGCTACTTATACAAAAAGAGTCATCCGATGTTATGCATTTCTTTGCAGCTATAGTGCGTCATAACTCAGTTTCTAGCCAACAAAAAGGTACCGGGCCACATCATTATTTTAAATGTCACTTCAATGAAACATAACTTGTGACGTAATAAAAATATGGCTGATGGTGAAGCTAGCCACGGGACAGTTGATGGTGATAAGTTCAATGTTAAGACAAAATAAGAACCTTTTGTATTTATTTGATAGATAAAATAAAACTCCTCCATTGTTTTAGTTTTCTTCTTCAAAAGCCAATTGTTAAATTTTTGGTATTATTGTTTGCAGATATTGTCGCCCATTACAAATAAAAACAATGTAAACAGTAGAGCTCTAATGATAAGCAGACTAATAGAGAAGTCAATCACTAGAAAAACGATTGCCACATGATTTATCAATTCATCTAAAAAAAGAAGTCGGCAGATTGATCGATAAGGAATATAATCCTTAGTTGCAGCCCGAGTTAATAACCTGACTAACAGAGAGAGAGTACATCAGTACAGAAGATTAAATACTGGCAAACATAGCATGAGATAAATGGTTTTGGTGGAGGGGTCAGCTTCGTCCTGTATCATGTGAGTCAGTCTAGTGGGTCACTTTGACAGAGATTACCCCGTCACCTTTACCTCACAGGACCCTCCTGGGTAACCTCCAGTTCCCTTGTTTTGTGAATGACCTTTGAATCTGGATAACACATATCATATAAATGCTATACTTTCTCTTCAAGGTCGCAGTTTTAATGTCACACAGTGCACATTTTCCAGAGTAACCGCTGCGTTATGAATGAGTTATTATGTACCACTGGCTTTCAATGCTAACAATTTCAGTACAACATGCTCCTACTTGTGTGCTATGTTTACGACATGCCGAAAGACAAATGTTTACTTTTGGTTGTGTCATTAGAGGTCAAATATCGATTTTTCTATTGCTGTTGTGTTAGTCCTGCACATGCGCTCAATAAATGTGTGTCAGGGCAAAGAGGAAACTCATAGCTTGACACGCTGCGGTCTGGAAGCTGAGCTTTGGTTGACATCAGAGATGGAGGATGTTGCATCACCTCCCGGGAGAAACATAACAATAGGGCTTTGTAGATCCTAGCAGACTTGTTATTGGCACCACACTAGTGACATGTACTGTATCTGCTTTATCATTGGGACAACTTGGACAGAAAGACACAAGATGTTTTTGTATGAAAACTTTTTTTGAGTTTCGCACATGAAATGCATACCGCCAAATAAGCACTGTGCAGAGTGGCGGCTTTTAGCTACACACACACACACACACACACACAAGACTGCATGCATGCAAGGCACCGATGGACTTCATTCTCTGCTCAGGTATCCATAAATACTCTGTTATTGCTTAACATAGAAAAAATAGATGTTTGTTGCTATATTAATGCTGTGAATTTCAAATTGAGAGCTTTTTAAGTGCAGACTTTGGAGAGTAGAGGTGAGAGTTTCTTCGAGCTGAACACTGTCTTGTTATTCTTGAGTGTGTATAATGAAAGGTTTCCTTAAAACTAGGGATGCTCCGATCGCCAATTTCGGAGCCGATCGCCGGAATCAGTATCGGCCGATCCGATCGAGTGAGCGGGGCCTAAATGGAAGATTTAAACATCACTTTAAATCTTCCATTTAAAGTGATGTTTAAACTCAGTTAATGGGGCTCATTCACTGGAGCTTCCACAAACAACAATCAACTTAATTATTACATTCAAATGATGTACATTATTCAAGTTTACATTCACTTTGGATAATAACACGGGAGAAATGAGCGGAAGCGCTCTCTCCCTCTCTCTCCCTCTCTCTCTCTCTCTCCCTCTCTCTCTCTCTCTCCCCCCCTCTCTCTCTCTCTCTCCTGACAGCCTGTATCTCATGCAGCTCACTGATCCAGTAATGAGTGACCCGACAGTGAAGAATACATATATTTATAATAACTAGTTTAGCTTGTTCCAGAGGTAGATAAAATAGCTAAGTGTGTTAGGTCTAACTCTTGTGTGTTTCGCTCACCGGTCCGGCGGGCGGAGCTGCAGGATTTCTGCTTCACACACGTTGCATACCGCTATTTTACTGTCTTTTTCGGACACTTTAAAATACTGCCAGACCGGTGAAGCCATTTTGGCGAGCTTGTTTTGCCGCACACAGAGAAAAGTGTCATGTATTTTACATCATGCGATCGGCTCTCGCGATCGGCATATTTAGAGATCACCGATCGATCGGTAGAGAGTGAGTATCGGCCGATCTCGATCGGAGCATCCCTACTTAAAACTCACGTTGCCCTAAGCCGTAATGATGCATTTTTTTGCCAGATTAAAT